TCGTGGGAAAGGAAGGAGGCGTGATAATTACCTGTGAGTATGGCGAGAGCGTCCCCAGGGACTGCAAGGCAGGAGGAGGAATGAAGGAAAGAGACAGAGAGTCAGGAAGCGGCCCAACAGGGGGCAGTGCTGAGCTGAGGGGCTACAGTGGATCTGCTGCCTTCTACTGGCCAACATGAGACCTGCAGGGGGCAGTGCTGAGCTGAGGGGCTACAGTGGATCTGCTGCCTTCTACTGGCCAACATGAGACCTGCAGGGGGCAGTGCTGAGCTGAGGGGCTACAGTGGATCTGCTGCCTTCTACTGGCCAACATGAGACCTGCAGGGGGTGTCACAGAAGACAAGGGCCACAGTTTACACAGCGGACAGAGTGTGTACACAGCTCTCCGGAAGAATACAGCCAAATGTCCCGGCCTGATTGTAGTGCCACACAGCACAGAAATCCATGTCTCACCGGGGGAATCTTACATTTTATATCAATGATCTCAGGCCAGTCAATAAAGACTTTATTTCACTTTGATACTCTGTTGATCCTCTCAGTAAACTGTCACAGAATATCAGATATTTCTGCACTGATTTAAAAGGTCGGCACTTGCTCTTTAAAAAATGTTAAAATATAATTCTGGGGGCAGAGTCTGACGAGTCTCCCACTGACTGCGGCACGAGTGAACTGTACACACTGGTGTCATGTCATAGAAATCACAGTGAAGGTGCTGTACAGCTTACAGCTGTCTGTATGAATATCAGACATGATCAGTTAGGGCAGGACTGCAGCAGAACCACAAGCTAATAGGACAGTAGGGGGGGAGGGGGGCACAGAGACATGTGGTGAGGGAGGGGGGTCACATGCACACGGATGGTGAGAATAGTGCCCGCATGTCAGTACCTCCCCATAGCTGTAGTGCTCTAGCCTGTCATTGGAGGAGAATCTGTGACAGGGCTCATAGGAAACGAGATCAGGCTGCTGAACATCATAAATAGCTTTAACCTTAGGCAGGGCGGCAAGATCTTTGTAATTAAGGATCTCATTTTCCACTCTGGCCTGGAGAGAGGACACAGGAACAGAACAAAGACAGACAGACAGACAGACATACAAGAGCAGGCATGAAAGAAAACTCGCAATGACAGGACGGCACCCTGGGCCTCTGTGCTGGAAGCAGCCGAATGATTGGCCAGGTCAAGGAGGAGAGGCCAGACTTAAGGGTGTGAGTATGCCCTCCTCTGGGTGGGACGGACTCACTCGGTGGCATGTTCAAGTCAAGCTCTTCTAGCCCCAGTGTGGGGTTGCCAAACTCTCCAAGTCACTTCCAGACACATTTGGCCAGGAGGGGGCGCACACAACAACACAACGCCGCACAGCAGGGAACTGAATTGAACTCCCACTCCACACAGACTAACATGTGACACTCCATGTGGTGTGTAGCACAGGGGGCTGGCCTGGGGGGGGCTTTGACCAGCGTTGCTGCACTTCTGCAGAAATGCCGTGATTGCTGGCATGCTGAATTCCGGCAGGGCTTGTGTCACCACTCAAAAGGGCCGTGGGGAGAAGACGGGGGTGAGATCAGACACAGAGCACTGTCCACCCCTCGTGAGACAGTGGTGCACAGAGGGAGTGCCGTCCGCATGTCCTGCAGCTGACCGGGAGTGGGGTGCCCATGCTACTCACACAAATGACTCTGTTGGGGGAGCCGATGCTGGAGCCAGGGGGGGAGACAGAAGTCTCTGATGTGCGTCTCAGCTGGAAAAAAAAACTAACACATAAATGTGCCGCCCAAGGCTGCCAGCAGGGCGGCAGTAGTGGGAGTCAGCTGGCAGCTTCATCACAGGTTCTCAGACAAGGAGGCCCAACAGCAGCAGGCAAAGCCACCCATCCCCCCATCGTAACGCAACATCATCCTTACCTTCAACTTTTTCTCTGCCCGTGCAGCTTGTTTACATGGTGGATGCCACACCTCAGAACCTTCCGGAAAGAAGGAGTGTGAGAGCGGATCAGGGATCAGTGGATCACCTCAGAGGACAGACAATGGCGGCCTGTGAGAGCCTGGACAGGTAGGGCAGACATGAAGAAGAGGGAGTGCTCTGACAGTCCTCAGAGAGAAGGACTAAGCTGGAGGGATGCATCTGAACATCTTTTGGGAGACAATTAGGCAAGAAGGTGCTTCCATGTGGCAAAGTCACCCTAAGGACCAAGATCTCGCTCCAGGAAACTCACAGAAACCTCCAGTACAAACACTGATCCAATTCAATTAACCCACAACCCACAGAGTCTCCAGAAAGCTAAAGAAAAGCTGCAGTCTTGGGCAGGCTGGGCACCTTAACCATATCCCCAGGGGCATTAAGGCGATGGTGACGATGCCTCTCAGTGGGAGGGCTATGCCTGTCTGCCCAGCCCCCCACCCCCCAGAGTTCCTGGACCTGCTACAGGGATTCTCAGTCAGGCCGAGGTGGTCAGACACTCAGGCAGGTCTTAAGTTCACCAGGGTTGTAAGATTGCAAAATTATTATAGTAACTGGGCCATTTTAGTAATCTCACAGAGTATGGATAGTGAAGAGGGTTTAAAGAAAGACCTGTTCACCGGCCCATGGTTTGAGCGGTGTGAGCCTATAGGCTACCAGAAGGCCGACCCTTGTGATTTCTACATACCGACAGCAGACATAGGAGGGGTGAAGTTCAGGTGACATGGAACGGGTGAAGCTCGGGTGACTTGGGGGGTGAAGCCCGTTTCACATAGGAGGGGTGAAACTCGGGTGGTATGGGAAGGGCAAAACCTGGGTGATGTGGGAGGCGTGAAGCTCAGGTGACGTGGGGGGGGAGAAGCTCGGGTGACGTGGGAGGGGTGAAACTCGGGTGACATGGGGGGGTGAAACTCGGTGGACGTGGAAGGGGCGAAGCTTGGGTGATGTGGAAGGGGCGAAGCTTGTTTGACATGGGAGGAGCGAAGCTCGGGTGATGTGGGAGAAGCTTGGGTGACGTGGGGGGGAGAAGCTCGGGTGATGTGGGGGGTGAGATTCGGGTGACGTGGGAGGGATGAAGCTTGGGTGATGTGGAGGGGAGAAGCTTGGGTGATGTGTGAGGGGCGAAGCTTGGATGATGTGAAGCTCGGGTGACGTGGGTGAGGTGAAGCTTGGGTGATGTGGAGGGGAGAAGCTTGGGTGATGTGTGAGGGGCGAAGCTTGGATGATGTGAAGCTCGGGTGACGTGGGTGGGGTGAAACTTGGGTGATTTGGGGGGCAAAGCTCAGATGACGTGGGGGTGGAGAAGCTCAGGTGACATGGGAGGGGTGAAGCTTGGGTGACGTGGGGGCGTGAAGCTCGGTTGACGTGAGAGGGGTGAACCTCAGGTGACGTGAAGCTCGGGTGATGTGGGGGGTTGAAACTCAGGTGACGTTGGAGGGGTGAAGCTCGAGTGACGTGGGAAGGGTGAAACTCGGGTGATGTGGGTGGGGTGAAACACGGGTGACGTGGGAGGGTTGAAGCTCAGGTGACGTGGAGGGTTGAAATTCGGGTGATGTGGGAGGGGTGAAACTTGGGTGAGGTGGGAGGGGTGAAGCTCGGGTGAGGTGAAGCTCGGGTGACGTATAAGGGGTGAAGCTTGGGTGACGTGAAGCTCGGGTGATGTGGGGGGGGTGAAACTCGGGTGACATGGGGGGTTGAAATTCGGGTGACGTGGGAGGGGTGAAACTTGGGTGACGTGGGAGGGGTGAAGCTCGGGTGACGTGGGGGGTTGAAATTCGGGTGACGTGGGAGGGGTGAAACTTGGGTGACGTGGGAGGGGTGAAGCTCGGGTGAGGTGGGAGGGGTGAAGCTCGGGTGACGTAAAAGGGGTGAAGCTCGGGTGATGTGGGGGAGTAAAACATGGGTGACGTGGGAGGGGTGAAGCTTGGGTAACGAAGCTCGGGTGATGTGGGGGGGTGAAGCTCGGGTGATGTGGGGGGGTGAAGCTTGGGTGACGTGGCTGGGGTGAAACTCGGGTGACATGCAGCTCGGGTGATGTGGAGGGTGAAGCTTGGGTGACGTGAAGCTCGGGTGATGTGGGGGGGTGAAGCTTGGGTGACGTGGGAGGGGTGAAACTCGGGTGATGTGGAGGGGCAAAGCTCAGGTGTGCATTACCGCCACAGGCAGAGAAGCAAGGCACTCACCCGTGAGGTACATTTCCTCCCCTTCTGTGAACATCATGTGACACCGCGCACAGCGTGCACACGTGGGATGGTAGTGCTTCCCTCCGGCCTGAGAGTACAGACAGGAATGAGGGAGAGAGGGAGAGAGAGAGTTTGAAAACAACATTAGCTAGGTCATTGGATTTGAGCTAATGATCAACATCAGGAAATACATTCTGAATGTTCACCTGACACTGATGAACAGATGCTAACTGTGGCTTTGTGAACACTTTGATCTTACCTGCATTTCAAAATGCCCTCAAACAAGCTGCAGGACTGTTTGATGCATATTTACCACAGCAGAGGGTTTTTTCATCATAAGGTATCTCCAAAGTGATGGTGCTTAGCTGCATACCCACTGCAATTAAGTACTTGGGGTCAGCGAGGAAATGATTCCAGACAGTATGGATGTGGAGCCCAGGACTAGAACCTCAGAAATTATCTAGTGTGTGAAGTTACTGGGTCGTTATGAGCAGGAACACATTCCTATCAGAAAATTCATGCATGAAAAAATCCATTAGGAAGCAGCGGGAGGAGAACGAGAGACAAGCTGTGCTGAGGAGCTCCTGCCACGACCCATCGACAAAGCACAGGTGGCGGTGTGAAAACACAGGGTATCACCACCAAAAACCATCTGTACCCATGGTAGGAGATTCACAGTCAAAGCACGGTGCCACAAATCCAGGGCTTTAAAAGAGAATGGAGAGACAGACATCTGAAATGGAGCGAATCATAGGGGGCACTCAACTCAGCCTGACATGGTTCTCCAGCTGTCTACAAGTATTATGGTGAAAGACATTTATTGGCAGGATAGAATAATAAGAGTCACGTAACACAGGGATTTGATAGCCGATTCCTTAGAGTAAAGGGGCCCAAACACGTGATGTCCACGGACCTGTAAAATGGATGGGGGGGGCGTCACATTTACCTGGTGAAGGCGGTATGAATATGCATGAAAATCAGGGATCATGGATTCTCGGCACGTCAGCCCATACTCTGCCGTGGCTGCCATCGCCCACGGTCTCGGCACCGTCGGCCCATACTCTGCCGTGGCTGCCATCGCCCACGGTCTCGGCACCGTCGGCCCATACTCTGCCGTGGCTGCCATCGCCCACGGTCTCGGCACCGTCGGCCCATACTCTGCTACGCGTCCTACCAGCTTTTTCAGCTCCCAGGCAAAAGCGAGGTCTCTCACCTGCAGGCGGAGCGCTCAGGTACAGGGCTGTCAGACACACAGGCCATCACCGTGGTGACAGCACATTAAGGGGGCCCTATTTTTAGAGCGGCTGGTGCTGGGGAACATTAGTCTGAGCTCAGCGTGTTTTTCAGCAGGAATTTTAAGGTGGCACTGCAAATCAGATTCACAGACTCTGCGAGTGGCAGCACTGCGCAGCTCACTGTCTGGGCACAGTGTGCCAATAGTGTCGGGTTTATGAGGGCTTGTTCATCCACCTACGGCAGCACTAACTGTAAGTGTGAGCCCCTCCCCATAAGGCGAACAAAAACAATGCTGTCATTCCTGCCGCCCCCTGTAGGTGGCTCCATTCCAGATCTGAAATCTGTTCTCCATAGACTGTGGGCTTGACTTACTGAACGGCTAATCTGTTGTTTCTCAGTGTTCTGGAGACAAGGTGCTTTTGGAAGTATGCCAGAGCACTTTTGATATGTTCATGTAGCAGTTGTCTGGATTCTAGGCATCCGTCATGAAGCCAGGAAAGGGGCTTCGTAAAGAACATCTCCCTCTGTGCTGATGGTCTCACATCTCCATCAGGGTCGCACTGCCATAGGACATGAATCATTCACCGGCGTTGAGATCCTCTGAACACATCTGAGAAACTTTCCTCTGTGCTGTTTGGTGCAGGAAGGAACCTACATAACAGCCAAAACAAACTTTTGTGGCCGAGTCAAGGCATTCAAAGTGAAAACACACAAGCACACCTACAGGCAAGCCAGACAGGTGCTTATTTTAATGACATAGAGTTGAAATAAATAAAAGTGAAGTGAACGCTTGCAGCTCCACATTACCAAGTTAGAAAGCAGCCTTCATCCTTCTCAGCCACACTGCACACTGACCTCCATTTAAAGGAATTACGCATCACACCATAGTAGTAAACAGCCATTTAAAGGGATGTGCTGGCAAGGTTGGCAAGCACTGTTTTCAGGATGAATATCTAGGCACATGTTTTGATTTAGCTGCTATTATTAGCTTACCGCTGACAGTCACACAGAGTGGGCATCCAAAATCCAGGCTAATTACTATAATCGGACGCAGGCGCTGGGCTGGTAGAGCAAACACTCCTGCAGGTTTGGCGCTCTGGTTACCCTCTCTGCTTCCCTTCCAGCTGGATTTCCTCCACAGGTCGGCCAGAGGTCTCGGTTAACGGGTGATGTTGAGTAACAAACAGTTTTCTGCATGGCAGACGACCGAGGCTGGTGCTCCACACCACCCCCGGCCCCCACCCCATAGTCTCTGAGCTTGTTAACACGTGCGGCTGGAAAGATGACAGGAAGTGCCTTATGGAGGCGGAACAGGGCACAACCTCGTGGCGAGACGGCTGGGGATCTGCAGAGGCGTATTGCCTGGGTGCGGGAGATGGGAGGAACAAGAAGGAAGAGCCCCTCGCGCCAGCAGCCTCGTGATGAGGTACAGTAGCTGAGGACCCCCTCGCGCCAGCAGCCTCGAGATGAGGTACAGTAGCTGAGGACCCCCTCGCGCCAGCAGCCTCGAGATGAGGTAC